CTGAATTTCATCTATTTTATCTGTAGCTAAAGTTTTAGTGGACATATGCACCCTTCTGTCTATATATAACAGTTATTCTGTTAAAAGGCAGTATTTAAGTATGCCAGTTTTACCTTACATTTTTGTTTTAGCTTAAGCCTAACAAGAGGCATTTCTTCGACGGTACTGCCCTGCAAATGCAGGATGTAATCACTCATGTGAGACTCGTTATTGTTCCTGATGGAGGTGTAAGTAGGATGCGTCTCTGGGGTTTCCCACGGACTCTGTTTTATACAAGCAAATGAATGAAGAGGATTTTCTAAAAAAGGCTTTAAGGGTTATAGAATGGATGTTCACTTTTCCCCCCGTTATATAAACTTGAATATATTAATTGAACGGTACACATGCATTAAACTAAGCATGACTTTTCCCCAGCAATAATTCAAACATAACAATTCTGTATGTATTATGGCTGTACAATAATACAATGACTTCTCTACTCCTAGGAATATAATGAATGTAATATATTTTTCCTGAAATGTATTTTTTGGGGAAAATCAATCAATGATAACACAGTGCAATCCTGGGTGATCATAGCTCATCTTTGTGAGAATCAAAATTGAAGGCCTAATTATTTTAACCACTATGTAAATCCACTAATTACCCTAAAATGCACTGCCTGCAGTGTCTTACTGGTGAAAAGAAATGGCATTTTTAAATAAAAATAAATCAGAGACAGGCTCTGCTTTATTGTTATGTCTGTCTTAATTATAAGCCAGTCAAAAAGCTCTACTTATGTTCTACTGCTTTCAACTCATGTCAATTATTTTGCCAAGATTCCAAACCCTAAGAAGAAAGACAAGTTGTGTCTCTCTGTCAACCTCAAGTTTGTGTGTGTGTCAATATATTGGTGGAATTTGGAAACGTATTTCTTTATGAAAATACATAGAATGATTTTAACCCTCCTTTTCCTTGCACTTTTTTGCTGTAACCTAACACCCAAATATTGTCTGTTTCTCTACCAGCTTAGGCTAAGATTTTCAAAACTGAGTGCTTAAAGTTATGTTGCTAAATCTATATTTAGTGATCTAAATCAGTGACCTGATTTTCAAAAATGCTGAGTATCCCGGAGTTCTCTTTGACGTCAGTGGGAGCTATTGGGTGCTCAGCACTTAAAAAATCAGGTCACTGAATTAAGTGCCTAAATATGGCTTCAGAAGCATAGCTCTAAGCGCCCAGTTTTGAAAATTGTGACCCTGGGCCTAGATTATACTGAATGAGGCAACATTTCTTTTGGAGAGAAAAAAGTGCTCAGCATAGGGCTGATTCCACGTGGCATGGCGAGGCTTTTTGTGTGATGGCACATGATCATGATACACTGCAGATAGGAAAAGGTGGCCCTATGCACCTCTCATTTGCACCATTGCTTCTGAGGGGAAGTGGTGTGATGGTGATGGAGAGTAGTAGTTGGGGCCATGGGCAGGCATCCTTATGGGTGTGGGTGTGTGTGTGTTAAAGTTTTTGTACTCAAGCTTATATTGTAGTAATTAAAATGCCGCATGATATATATGAAGGCAGATACGGCAAACAATTTTCTGGAATTATGCATAATAATTGAATGTAAAATAGCATTGTCTGTAACAATTATGGAGGCACTTGGCAGTGATTCTATAGTTAAAACTGAATTGTCCATGAAATGGGGACTGTTTTGTCTTTATATGTAAGTGGTCTTTCACGATGAAATTTGATATAATGTATATTTTATATAGGGTCAAAACTGGGTATTATAGAATTGTGTCTGACTTTACTTGTTTAATGCACTGTATTTGGGAGCATTCAAAATATGTTGTGGCATAACATATACTGTTTGTAATCTATGCTTTTGATTTACACCTAATTAATATTTCTGACATCATTAGTATTATGTTATTTATCACTCTTATGAAGTGTCAGTGAAAAGTGCTTACTCTGTAATACTACAATCTATCCAAGGTATTTGTGATCCCCATCTTTAATGTGTTTCTCCTCATAACACCCTGCTGGGAAGGGAAATGCAATTATCCCCGTTTGCAGATGGAGAATGGAGACACAGAGAGATTAAGCACCTTGCTAAATGTCACACAAGAAACCTATTGCCGAACAGGGGATTAAACCCACAAGTGCCAGGCCAGCACCCTCCCCACTGGACCATCCTTCCTCTCATGAGTCATCTAATATGTGTAATGTCTTGTTCTAAGGATGACGCTTTTCTCCATTTTGTTTCTTAACCCTTATAGCTTACTTTGTATTCTATCCTTTAGTTTGCATAATAATTTGTGGCCATGCTGTGTGGTGCTATAATAAAGAAATTCCCATTTTCTATTGTCTGCTTTGTCATGTTGTGGGTTTCCACCTATCTACCCAGTCCCTCATAGACTTTAAGGCCAGAAGAGACCATCATGATCACCTAGTGTGACCTCCTGCACATTGCAGGCCACAGAACCTCACCCACCCACTCCTGTAATAGACCCATAACCTCTGGCTGAGTTTCTGAAGTCCTCAAATCATGATTTAAAGACTTCAAGTTACAAAGAATTCACCATGTATACTAGTTTAAATCTGCAAGTGACGCCTGCCACATGCAATCCTGCCACCCCGGGTCTCTGCCAATCTGACCAGGGGGAAAATTCCTTCCTGACCCCAAATGTGGCGATCAGTTAGACCCCTGAGCATGTAGGCAAGACCGTGCAGCCCGACACCCAGAAAATAATTCTTTGTAGTAATTCAGAGTCCTCCCCATCTAGTGTCCTATCACCAGCCTTTGGAGATATTTGCTGCTAGCGATCACAGATCAGCTACATGCCATTGTCGGCAGTCTCATCATACCATCCCCTCCATAAACTTATCAAGCTCCGTCTTGAAGCCAGTTAGCTTTTTGGCCCCTCTGCTCCCTTTCTTCAGTTATTGTAAGATTGAATCCTTTTTGTTGTCATATTGTTTTCTATATAGCAGCATGACATACAGGTTACCAGTTTTAGCTTTTCTTTTAGTAGACCACTCCCACACAAGAACTTTCAACATCTGAGCATCCTTTTCTGTGCTATTAGAAACTGAGCACCACCCTTTTTTAACAGAAGGTGAAGGAATGGGTTAAAAGAACTCAGATAACCAAAACAAGCAATCTCATAGGGAAAGAAAATTGAGATGTGCAGCAAACGAGAAGTAAAATATCATACATATTTTGGCTAGGTATTAATCTCATTTGGAAGGAGAGAGTCCCTAATACTCAATAAATGTTGAAGCAGTTTTTAAAATCTGCCCCATAATTATGAGATTTTTTTTAGCACCACATTTCAAATTTCTACCTACAACTATTCTGAAATTTCCCTCATTCACAGTGTCACGGCATGAGAATTTCCCACCAATAAATCCCACACAAGAGAAGCATGACAGAGTCCTCAATGAGCCTGAAAATAATTCTAAAACTGGTAACAAATAATCACAAACTGAAATGATGTATTTAAAGCAGTAGCAATCAAGCTTTTGCAGTTGGAGAACCACAGAAGTGATTGCATTATTTTTTAAAAATTGCCTCCCCCCACCCCCAGGGACAGCTGCCAAAATGTTGTCAAGGAGTCCTATGTCACCATATTGCAATGTGGAACCAATGGCTTTGAAATGGGTCTTCAACCAGTTTCCTCTTTAACTAGACTGGGGTGTTTTCTCTGACAAAAATTCTGCCAGTTTGCTTGTTGCCAAAGGGAGCTCTCTGGGCTTTTGGAAGGGCTACAAAGCAGGGGCGGGAGCAATGACAGTCCTGAATTTAAGATGGCATGATGGGAGAATAGTAAGTAGCAGGAAGGGAAGGAAGAGAGTTTAAGGAAATTTTGTGCTAGGGAGAAAGGAGGAGAGACTGAGGGGATTTCTGCAAAGGGGGTGAAATGATTGAGGGTCGGGAGGAAGGAAGGGGATCTGATGGGGGTGGGAGAAGGGGGTGAAGTGACAGGATGGGGGAGGAAGGAAGGGGATCGGATGGGGGTCAGGGAGAGGTGACTGGGAGAGGAAGGAAGGGGATCTGATAGGGTGGGAGAAGGGGGTGAAATGGGGGAGGAAGGAAGGGGATCGGATGGGGGCTGGGAAGAGGTGGTTGGCAGAGGAAGGAAGGGGATCTGATGGGGTGGAAGAAGGGGTGAAGCAGAGGAGGAAGGAAGGGGATCAGATGGGGACCGGGGAAAGGTGACTGGGGGAGAAAGGAAGGGAATCTGATAGGGTGGGAAAAGGAAGGGGATTGGATGGGGGCCGGGGAGAGGTGATTGGGGGAGGAAGGGGATCTGATGGGGATAGGGGAGAGGTGACTGGGGGAGGAAGGAAGGGATCTGATGGGGTGGAAGAAGAGGGTGAAGTGGAGGAGGAAGGAAGGGGATTGAATTGGGCCCAGGGAGAGGTGACTGGGGGAGGAAGGAAGGGGATCTGATGGGGATTGGGGAGAGGTGACTCGGCAAGGAAGGATGGGGTAGGAGAAGAGGGTGAAGCGGAGGAGGAAGGAAGGGGATCTGATGGGGTTTAGAAGAAGGTGAAGCGGGGGAGGAAGGAAGGGGATCTGATGGGGATTGGGGAGAGGTGAATGGGGGAGGAAGGAAGGGATCTGATGGGGTAGGAGAAGAGGGTGAAGCGGAGGAGAGAGGAAGGGGATTAAATTGGGCCCAAGGAGAGGTGACTGGGGGAGGAAGGAAGGGGATCTGATGGGGTAGGAGAAGAGGGTGAAGCGGGGGAGGAAGGAAGGGATCGGATGGGGTAGGAGAAGAGGGTGAAGCGGGGGAGGAAGGAAGGGATCGGATGGGGATTGGGGAGAGGTGACTGGGGAGGTAGGAAGGGATCGGATGGGGTAGGAGAAGAGGGTGAAGCGGAGGAGACAGGGAGGGGATCTGGCGCGGGGCAGACTGAGCGCGGAGGGATCTGAGCGACCGGCGGGGATGTGCGGGACGGAAGTCGCGGGCAGGAGGCCATTGACGAAGGAGAGACTGGGGCAGACCAAGGCGGATTGTGCGCCCCGCCTCCTCCGGCCGCGCTGTCCAGATGGCGGCCCCGTGGCGTGGCCCCGCTCGGCAGGTTGCCGGGGAGACAAGTCTATGCCCCGGGGCCCGGCTTGCCCCCTGCCTGCGGGGACGGGGATCACAATCTCCGCGGATCACGTCAGCCTCATGCCGGGAGGGGAGAGGGGGCCGGCTCGGGACAGCTGCTGCGATCCGGGGGTGGGGCGGGGCCGCGCCGCCTGGGGACGCTATGAATTAGGAGGCCTGTGGCGCAGCCCCAGCTGGTGCCTCGTACAGCTCAGCAGCCCAGATAGCGCCTGTGACTAGCCCCCACCGCTGCCCTGGCTGGGGGCTGGGTTACTGTGTGTATTAGCCTCACCTGCCCCTCCCAGCCCGCCTTCCCCCGGGGCCATGGTGCCATCGCCACGGCCCCGGGCCAGCTACAGCCTGACGGGGGTGACCCCGGCCAGCACGGTGCTGGTGTACCGCAACGGGGACCCCTTCTATTTGGGCAGGAAATTCGTGATCCACGATCGCTACGTGAGGACTTTCGAGGCGCTGATAGCCCAGCTGAATGAAGGGGTGGAGGTGCCCTTTGGGGTGAGGACTCTATACACCCCCCAGGAAGGGCACCGCGTCCGCAACCTGTCCGACCTAAAACAGGGCGGGAAATACGTGGCCGCTGGGCGGGAAAGGTTTAAAAAACTGGAGTAAGTATGAAAAACTGGCTCAACATTTAAATTTTGTAAACATCTTTTATTATTACCATAGTTCCTAGAAAACCTAATAGAGATCAGGGGTCCATTGCGTTAGGGGCTGTACAATTACATAATACCAGACAGTACCCAAAGAGCTACCTTTTAAATAGACAAAACAAACAAAGGCTGAAAGGGCCTGACACATTGCACAAAGAATTGTTACCTAAGATTACATAGTAAATCTATGGCCAAACAGGAATGGAATACTGTTTTCCTGAGTCCTACACCACTGCCCTCCATATCCACTGGGCTACATTGACAAACCGAAGCCAATAGAAGTGTTTCCAAAAGTTAAAATGGAAAAAAAATATATCTAATGGAAATAGTTGGTTTTAAACAACTCTACATTTCTCTGCAGGGTTTGCAATCAAAATGTTGCTGCACTGAGAACCTGAAACTGACTGAATAAATGTGAAACTGACTACATTGAGTTTTACTTGTCCAAGCTGAGAAAAATGCAAAAAGCAAACAAAGTATAAATAGTGAAAAGTAATTTGCCTTGTTAAAATGTTAACTTGTTATGATTACATATAATTACTCATTTCTTTACCCGTCTGTAAAGTGTCCCATCTAGTGATGACAGTTTCAAAGCAGGTGGTGCCAACACTTAGGCCTTGTCTTCACCAGGAACAAAAGTGTATTTTTTAATTTAACTAATACATGGTAAAATCCTAGTGAAGACAGGGCAGTTTGTAGGTTTAACATGAGTGAATGGGTTAAAGCTCAATTACGCTTAAAGAGAATCTCCAGTAACAGAATATGGACAAAATGTGGATTCTACCCCAATGAGGGCAGTGGTACTGACAGGAGTTGGTAAATTACAATAAGAAGGGCCATCATGCAGATACTACAGCTTCTAGGATGTTATGCTCTATATTGAGCTTGAATGGAAATGATGGAATTGTGATTCCAGGTGTTCAAACAAGTCCACTGCCTCTGCTGTGTCTCATAGTTTTGCCAAGGAAGAACAGAGTGAAATTAACAAGATTCCAGTCAGCTTCACTGAAAAACTGTAGGCAGCACAATTTCATGCACCACGCTGTGGTTGCTGCTGCTGGTTGGGGAAACTGGAAGTTATTCCTGAGTAGATTTGGGCTCGTTAAATGTTGCAAAGCAAGTGTTCAAGAACATTTATTTGAATTCTGAATTACTGTTTGATTAGACCATGTTTATGGCCTTGATTGTGCTTTTCTTAAAACATTTGTGAA